GGGAGCCCTGGGGGCGGCACCTGTGCAGGCGCTCTTCCCCACCAGGGTTAGCCCAACGGGGGCTTGGGTCCGAGCAGCCCGGACGCCCGCGGCCGCCGCGACTTAGGCCCGTGTCACAGCGAGTCTCCTGGGGCGGCGGCCGCTCCGGGCGAGAGAAGAGGACGGCGGCCTCCGAGGTGGACAGCCGAGAGACGGAGCTCTCCCGCCGTGGTCCGCTAGCCGGGGGTCTCCTCCGCAGCCGTCTACTCCCGCAGCGCGAGGCCCGTGCGTCACCTCGCCTGTGAAGCGCCGCCGCCGCCGTCGCCACCTCGCTCCCTCCCAGCCCACACGGCCTCGGCCTGGAGCGCGCGCCGCCGACGCCTCCGTTGCGCGCCCGCGCGGGGGCGTCCCCTCCGGCCCCGCGCACGCGCATTCGGTCCCGCACGCTGGAAGCTTTGAGGTTGTCGTATCCTAAGGGCTGCAACGCTTTTACCCTCCAAAACCCAAATCCTTGTCAATCCACGGTTTGGGTGAAGTTGTCTGGTAGACATGATTCTGTTGGTTGTGCCAGCACTTGCTAACTCAACTCTGCATCTGAAAAATTTGAGATTGAAGAGTAAAAACTGAGCGGTGTTGGTTGGGGGCTGATTTTTTTCACTCTCAAAAGGCCCCAGAGTACACTGAGAAGGAGTGTGTAATTTGTGCTGGACCTTCAGGTTTGGAGCCAAAGTTTACCAGCCCTGTAACCTAGGGCAGGTAACCTCTCAGAGTCTCAATTTCCTCATTTGTGAAATGAAGGTGTAAAGTCCCTGCCCGAGGGATTGTATTGAGTAGTAAATAAGGCAATGGATGTAAATCTTTTGCTGGGCTTTTGAGCCGTAAACGTTCAACCTTAAATTTTGCTGCTTTTATACTTGTCGGAGTAACACAGACGGATCTAGAATAATAAAAATTATTTTAAGCCTCAAGTGGTCTCAATGATGACCATGACACTCCCTTGAGGCTAACCTATCTTGTGATCACTTTCACAACTGTAATCATGGTGCCACCTTCAACCACCTAGAGCAACACAGTGGTCAAGGACTGCTTGGTGGGACAATATGGGCGTTGTCTGGAATCTACCAGATGGTGACCTTCCTCTCCTCCACCAAATATGACCTCTTCAAGGGCAGTGTCTTTTTCATCATGGTATCCAAATACCTGGTAGCATTTCAGGCATCTAGTAGGAAGGCAGTTGTTTTGAATGAATCAATCAATGATGGTATCTAGAGCAGAGATAATATTGTAGGAAAGCACGTGCTTTAAATGAATGAATCAAAGGAGGTATCTGGAACAGAGGTGTATTCTGCTACTTAGATCATGTCCATTTACTCCTTCTCAACCATTATGCCCAGCCATAAAATAGTGTAATAAAATCCCTCTTTCAATAAGAGGATAAACACTGGACCCCAAAGTCAGTTTGAACCGCAAAACCAGCAGTTCAAACTCACCAGTCCCTCCGCAGAAACCCTATACAGGGTCACTATGAGTCAGAATCGATTCAACAGCACTTAACAAAAGCAACGATTTTTAAACATATTTGTATTGTTAAAGGTTGTTGAGTCAGTTCTGACTCATAGCCACCGTGTATTAGGATATTGAGGCTGTACATCTTTGTGAGGAATCTCCCACCTTGTGATTCACAGTCTGATGCTTCTTGTAACTGAGCCACCATGCTCCCTTTAACAGCTTTACTGAGATATAATTAATATTCAATATTGTGCCATCAATTCCGTTCCAGATCATAGGACCCTATATAGGGTTTCAGAGGAGTAGCTGATGGGTTTGAACTGACAACCTACAGTGCCACATGCAATAGTCTGTACACATTTATAAAGTTTTATACATGTTGACAAATGTTGACACCTGTGAAAGCAACACCATTGTTAATCTCTCTATTTTTAATTAATGACATTTATGGAGGTGAGACTAAGTTCAAGTACTTGCTTATAAAAGTTTTTATCCAGAACCTTTTATATTCTAGTTATGATTAATAATTCTTCTCTTCCACCATAAGGCAGATTATTTACAAATTTTCTGTGTTTTAAATAAAACACTGATTTTTTTTTTTTTGGGGGGGAAACAAACCTTTTTCCACAAACTTGATGATTTCCTTAGGATAAATTTGGGGCTTAGAACTGCTTAGTTCAACTCTCTGCTGAGAATTTGCCTGCCCATCCCAGATATACTGAACCAAAATCTACATTTTAATACCACCCCTGATTCAAATAAGGAGCTGACTCCACGGAACACTACCACTACCACCTGATTCATATATAATCACCTGGTAATCTATAAGAATCACCTGGGGATATTGTTAAAATTTAAATTCTAATTCAGCACATCTGGGGTGAAAATGTCAATTCTCAGCAGTGGTGGTGTGCATCAAGTCGATGCTGACTCATAGTGACCCTACATAGGGTTTCCAAGGCTGTAAATCTTTAAGGGATATATTTTGAACTGCTGATTATAAGGTTAGCAGCCTGACTCGTAATCACTACGCTTGTTGTTAAGTGACATTGAGTCAGTTCCAACCCATAGTGATCCTGTATAGATAGGGTTTCCAAAGAGCTACTGGTGAGCTTGAACCGCCAACCTTGAGGTTCAAACTGACTTTGCAGTCCAGCACATTAGCCCACAGCGCCAAATTCCAGTGTATGTTATTGTTATTGCTAAGTGCCATCAAGGCAGTTCCTATTCATAGTTTCTCATATTAGAGTTTCTGAGCAGCAGGTAGTTAGTTGGTTGGTTTGACCCACCAAGCTTACAGTTCAAACTGACATTGAGGTCCACAGTGCTTATTCTACAGCACCATAATTTATTTAAGAATTTCTCTTTTGGTAGAAATTTAAGCTATTTCAAT